AATAAATTATATTAAGCATTCCTACCAATAAATAATATTAAATTATGGAAAAATCCGTAAAATATGTATACTTAATGCATAAAGTCTATTTGAAATCAGCTGAGTGTTGTAGATTTTCTCCAAAGTTTGATTCGCAAAAGTTCTTTTATATCCCAAAAGCTAGTAGTTTTTTGATATTTTTCAAGAAAATGTATGTCCAAATTCATCAAGAAATTTCTCACTAAAATAGTGTAAATAAGTCCTGCAAATTAACAATGTATTTTAAAAATTCTCACACAGCACGAGACGTCGCACGGACGTCGTATAGATATTACTGTCCTTCGAACAAGACGTGTGGGTTATTTATTGACGCAATGATCAAGACGAAAGATCGTTTCCATTGAACAAAGGAGAAGGATGTTTCACGAAATAATTCCTGGCTTCGCTGCAATTAATGATTAACAACGTGGGTGAAAGAGTGGGTCTAAATTACGTTATCGTCTCGCCGTGCCGAAACTCCATTTCAGAAACAAATACTTTGATTAAAAGATTGATGCTGAGCGTCACGCCGCCTTGCAATGCCGCGGAATGTAAAATCAACATTGCATACTCCGTCGCGTTCCTTATCAAAGCTCCATCGTATAATGTTTGATTCATGCCACACAGCCGCCGACAAAAATGAATCGGCATCGGAGGAACAAATTGCTCGTTTATTGACGCTATCCGCTCGGTAGATCTATATTGATAGCGCGACGATAAATTTAATATTAAACACGGTAGTCGGGGTTTTAATTTAACAACTATTATTGCCTCGGGGAAAAAGTCATAAATACGCAAGGAAAAGAACAAAACGTTACAAAGCGTTGCTTTCTGTGCAGTAACTGCACAGAAAAAGAGAATTCTTTGTCGGTATCCAAGGAAATACTCGAATACGAACCGCAAAGCGAAGGTATCGAATATTTTGGAGTGTTCAACTTTACAATTTCTTCTATGATTTACGAGAATTCCTCGTGTTGAGCAAAGAAATATGCAAATATGGATCGTAAAGTGAGATTTCAAGATATTTTGGAGTGTCCAACCTTACCGTTTTCTTCATGATTTATAAGAATCGTTTACGTTGTGCAAGGAAATGCGCGAATGAGGGCCGTGAGGTAAGGTTTTAAGATATTTTGGAATGTCCAGCTCCATAATTTTCACCGTGATTTATAAGAGTTCCTCGCATTGTGTAGAGAAATGTGCGAGTATAAACTGTGAAACGAAGTTTTAAGATAAGTTTGAAGTATCCCGCGCTACAAAATTATCTGTATTATTTATAAGAATCGCGTGTAAAGAAATGCGTGTGAATCACAAAGCGAAATTTCGAATATTTTGGAGTATTCAGCTCCATAGTTTCCTCTATAATTTGTGAAAATCCTTATGTTGTATAAGGAAACATACAAATACGGAAATTAATTCATCATTTATAAGAATTCTTTGCATTGTACAAAGAAAACATGCGAATACAGATCATGAAATAAAGTTTTGAATATTTTGGAGCATTCAGTTCCACGATTTTTTCAATCATTTATACGATTTCCTCGCGTTGTACAAAGAAATATGCGAATGCAGATCACTAAATAAGATTTCGAATATTTTGGAGTGGCCACAGTTTTCTCCTTGATTTATATATAAGAATCCATCGCGTTGTACAAAGAAATACGTAAATGTGGATTGCAAAGTGAAGTTTAAATATTTTGGAGTGTCCAACTCCACAATTTTCTTTATAATTTATAGGAATCCCTCATGTTGTGCACAGAAATATGCGTGTGCGAATCACTACGCAAAGTTTCAAAATTCTTTGGGATCTCCAACTTTCACAGTTTTCCCCAGGATTTACGAGCATCCCCTGCGTTTTGCAAGAAAATACGACGAATGTCAATCGTGAGGCAAGATTATTTCAAGATCGAAGGTCCCGAATCTCTGCCGCAGTTCTCTCCATGATCTATGAAAAAAGCAGCTATTGTTAAAATGAACAGTATATCCACTGGGGAAAATATTAATGGCAACTAGAAAATTGAACGTATCAAAGAGGATTAATTCCCCATTGTTGTATCTTACTTTTCGGAGCGTTCAATTTGACGGCGATTGAGCGGGCTGCTGGCGCATGAATTTAGAACCCGACGATATCGATTCCCTCCGACCTGTCTGTCATCGGTACGTCGATCCGTATATCGGTAACTGTTAGCAGAGCTATCTCGACGCCCATAAATCACATTGTATAACGTTCCTGCCGGCGGCTGCGTGAATCAGGCTTAACATCGGGTGCCAAGACAAGACCGGGCGCGGCGAGGGGAGTGCAAACTAGATGGAAACCGGTAGTGTGCATTTTCAACTTGCGCGCACACAACACATATACACACACACACAAAGTGCATACACATACGCCTGATTTTAAACCCGTGTTAAATTTACACTGGCTGTACACATGTTACCACCTGCCTTGTCACGTACCGCTACGAGCGTTGACTCCAAATCTTGGTTTAATGCAAATAGCAACCGCACGGCTTACCGATAACTCCACCTTCGAAGTAGACGTCCGATGTACTTGTAAGCCGAGGTAAGGAGAATCAGCGAGGACGCGATCGCAGGACGCGGTTTTGAACGCCGCGATTTTACGCGGGATCAGAAATTCCGCTTCTGCCTCATCGTCCTTTTAAGTGAAAACCGATCGATCCTCAGATCTCACGGGAAAGCAGATCAGAGATTTCCGAGGATTCCCGATCCGCGCCTCACGGGACCTGATCTTCCGAACGAGAGCTCATCAGGCGAGCGTATCACTGGCGGGCGCGCGCGCGCGCGCATGCGGTTCCTAAGCCTAAAAATACGAATTTAAATATTGCGTAACGCGTCTCGGTGCCGGCGTTAATTCATTTTCGCGGGCGAGAATCGCTCGCGGGAGACGAATACACCTGACGCGACACGAGACGCGAGATAATCGCGGCGCGTCGTCCCCTCGCCGCGTGTTCTTCTCAATGAATAGTGAATAGTGAATTGTGAGACACTTACCACCCGCAACAGATCGCAGACCGCCCCCGGAACGCGAACTGAAGTATGCCGCCAATGCCGTGTACGCGCCGACGTACGACTGGTGGAGCGAATCCGTGGATCCGCGACGGAGACGATCGTCGGATTGATCGATCGATCGGTTGGGTGCGATCCTCTCCGGCGGCGCGGTGCGAGACGATCCGGAGCGTTGACGATCGGCTCCTTCCGCTCGAGCGCTCGCACTGACTGAACTGAAGTGCGCGCCGAGCCGCCCGAGGCCTCGCGACCTCCTCCACCCTCTGTCCCTCCCCCCCGGCGCTTCTTCTCCCGCGCCTTCCCGCCGTCGTCGACCGACGCACCGGCTACGGACAACGATCTCGCCGTCGTATAATTCACGCTGCTCTCCGCGCTACCATCTTCCCGCAGAATACAATCTGAGAGACAGGAACATTAAATTAATATTAAATTTCCCGCTCAAGAGTTATAAATGTAATCCCATATGCCACGGAAGCTCGCGGCAACATTGCTGCAGCAACGTTTACAATGTTATTGCAATATTATACTGAAACATTGCAATTATGTTGCAACAATATTGCTGGAACGCTACAAAAATTGCTGCAATATTTTTGGAACGTTGTAAAAATTACTACAATATTTCTAGAACGTTGCTGCAATATTGCTTAAACGTTGTAAAATTTACTGCAATATTTCTGGAACGTTGCAATGTTGCTGCAAGCTTCTTTGCTGTACGGATTATATTATTGAGTAGGAAATTATATTATAATATTGATGTACTTAATATTACTGTTATAGTTTATGTTTTGCAGATTATCAGTACAATGCACCTAGCAATATCCATGAATAATGCGTGACTCCTCGTAAAATATTCTGGACTACCGCTGCGTTAATTTGCGATTTGCCCGAGGCGTCCATTTCCTGCTCCATTCCATCGTCGCTCACGCTGAGCGCTACATTAGAAGGAAAAAATTCGAACTTTTTCGAAATCCCTGATAATCTCAGTGAGAGGTATCTTCCCCGCATCCTCGTTCATCGATATATAGATCGTCAGAACATAACCGAAGACTGTCCTTTATTTGCAAATCGACAGATATTTGAAATCTATTTTGAACGCGCGTAAATGATCATGTCGCATGTATATTTATAAATAAGATTTAATTTAACATACCTGAGAATTTTTTCCGTAGAAAAATCGAATATAAGATTTCGACATACCGCGAGTTCTCAGTTTTAAAAAAATTCCAATCTTCTTACATGCCCCATCGTCGCGTACAGCGTCTTCTGAGAAGTTAGCTCGAGATTCAAATCCGCCACCGATCTCAATTCGATAAATCGTAGTCACTTACAGAGCGCGAAATTTAAAGTGGGATTTAATTCTCTCGGTAACTCTGCTTTTGCAAAAGTAATAAAAAATATGTATTTTAATTCTTTCGTCTAATCACTTATTTCCATTGTTTTAGAAAAACAAATTCGCATAAAATTTAATATAATATAAACATAATATTATAATGTAATTTTAGATCATTTTTAAAAAAAGAATAAATATTTTAAAGTGTCAACTCTTAAAACATTATTATAAAGTATTTTTTTATTTTCAAACTATTAAATTAAATATATAAATATATCATAAATATTTTAAAACATTTCATTTCTTTTAAAGGTGTATAAATATTTTTAGAAAGTATCATCTCTCTTCAAAGTATCGTTTTCAAGTATTTTTAAAAATGTCAAATTTATACACACAAATATAACATGATACAAATATTTAAGCATTGTTTTTTCAAAGATATATAAATTTCTAAAGTATCATTTTACAATATCTTTAAAATATTTTGAAAAATTGAAATCATATATGTATTAAATAATAGGAGAATAGAGAATATTTAATTAATTGCACATCTTTTCTTGTCCTCGGCAGGGATGTAATTCCAAATTGTAGCTGGTAAAAATAAGCCCGGACGAAAAACAGGGAGAGACTATCTCAAAACAATGTGACTTTATTCGTTCATATGGTCGATTCATATGAAATTTACGTGTACTAAGTAGCTGTTACAATTACAAAGAGCAATTCTCGTTTACGCGAGAAACGTACCATCTGATCTTCCATAATTTGTTTTTTGTTTCCAGTTTACCATGTTTTTTTCCAGTTGTTCATTCAATCGACATAGAACACGTACTATAATATTAAACGTTATCTAACGATGTACCTAGATCGTCGTCTTGTTCGGATGACAGTTGTTATTTAGATTCGATCGCATTGCGCGCAGGGATACCCGCTACATCAATAACTCGTAATTAGTTGCACCTGTCACGAGTTGACTTCTGCCGACGTATAGTGCTTTATATTGTCTCTTCTTTGCCGCCCGCAGCTTTTGGTAACGAGCCATTTAATGCTCGATGATTGCATCGTGCATCCCTGAAGAGATGTTTACTAAAAACCGGGATCTACATAATAAATCGCTTGATAAAGTATAATCATATTACATCCTAATAGAGAAATACATTTAAAATGAAGAGAACGACGCGTCAGCGATAGAATTGTACATATACACACCGTACATATGCATATTATAAAAAAGAAACAAGTACTATAATTATTGATAAAATAAAATGTCGATAAAACGAGAACGTACGTCTGTACACGGGCATTGATAGCGGAGTTGCGACCACGTCGCTCTCGGAAGACACGAGCGACAAGGAGAGGACGGTAAACGTAATGTCCAAGATTATATTCGCAGCTGAAAGTGCAGCTAATTCAGAGTTACGCTACATAAACGAGGAACATGTATAATAAATATCGAATAACAGTTGTGGTACTTATGGTAGTACGAAGTAGTAGAATGCAGCGTACACGTACTATAGCAGCGGCTATAAAAAGTATCTACTACGCACGAGTTTGTTACATTCGCGTTACTTATTCTTTGCCTCTATCTGTTGCGTTCTCTCTCTCTTTCTCTTTCTCTCGTCCTTTCACTCTCTCGCTTATTCTCACCCACGCACACTCATTCTCTCGCTTTCTGTCTCACTCTCTCTCTTTTTTTCTTCACACTTTCTCTCTATATTGTAAATTCTTACATGTCTTTCTCACTCTACCACACCTTATATTTTTCTACCTATTTATCTTCATCACGTCTTATCATCATCATCATTGTAATAATTATCATCATGATTATTATGTATTCGGCCGAAAGTCATCACTGCTTTCTCTTTTCCTAACGCCTTGGCTAAACACCGATAATTCGGCCGCTGGACAGGATAATCTGCACACTTGATATCAGTCCCTTGTGTCATCTGTTCATGTTCAATGTCCATTTGTTCATCTCGTAACACAAACAATAGACTCTTTTCAAAATGTCCAACAATGTCTATTAACATCCTTTAGCTATTCACACATTTTCGAAACCATCTTCTCCATCTCGACGTCCGTATCGATGTCGTGATGCACATGGCTACTCGTGCTGCTATTACTGATCGGAACTATATTGTTAGCGGCGATAGGAGTAGCCACGGTGGCGGTCGCGGATGCCGTAACCGTCGATGGTGTATTCGGAGTTGTGCCTGGGGTCCCGGATAGTTCGATGGGCGAGCCTGGCGACGCAAGTGGTTCGGCCAAGTCTTCCAACCCTTTGGGCGTTGGCAGTTTATTTAATTCTTCCCTCAATAGTCTATAATGTCTCTGTGAATATACAAGAGAAAAGCATGCCTGTAACTGTACAAGTCGAAAATCTTGGATCTTCTTTTTTTATAAAAATAACCCTTACCCTTAAAGACAACGCATTGAGAGAAATTGTACGGCCTGATCTACGATCTGATCCATGCATTTCCATATCTCTTATCCATCCCTCCAGTTGTGCAACGATCTCGTGCCTTTTTATCCAAAAGTGGGTATGTATGACCTGTCGCGAAATGATTAGAACTTTTTTATTTGCGGGAACGCGCTATATATAATCATCGAAACATCTTTATTTCACAGGTAGTCTTTACACACAAATCTATTCCTATAGTAAATTATAAATGATAATTGTAATAATTAAATTTAAATTTCTATATATAAATTTCTATAATTGTAATAAATGATAAATTGTAAATGATAATAACAATAATTATCGTGTTTAACATAACAGAATTATTGCATTAATAGAATAATTCTGTTGTATATAAAAAACACGATATATTCTCATACAGCACAGAAGCTACAACGCTGTTGCAATGTTTGCAATGTTACTGCAAAATTGCTGGAACATTACAATGGTGTTGGAATGATATGTGTTATACAGGTTTGTTTTAGTATTATTGCTACCTGACTTTTATATATGCATATTTTGAATGAAATGCATAGACTGGTTATTGAAAAAAAAAATATATATATATCTCAACCATAAGATCAGTTGCATGTTTAACGCACCTCCTTGAAGCATGGACAGGGATTGCGTATTTGATCAAGCATCGCCCACTTGGCAGTAGCCTGACAAATATTCGCATTGTACTCTTGACTAGATTGAGCACCACTTGACGTACCCCGTGACCGTTCGTATCCAGGCTCGTTGAAATAGGGTTCGGACACTAAGATTAACGACTGTATCGATACTAGAACCTGTTTTCAACAAAGTTATAACGGTATATAATTAACGTCTTCCCCCTTTCGCTAAAATTTTTAAGTTCTTGAGATCTATTTATAAACGCGATATCAAATAGCCTCGATCGCTAAATCAATCAATTTTAACAAATAATTATGCTAGAATTGACCTGACTTCAAGAGCTTACCTGAAGGAAGCTACTCGTGTGCGCGTTCCACTTTTCCTCAGGTCGGCCGTGCCAAGTGTTCAGTACGCTGAGACAGACCTTCCCATCATTATATAAATTCGGATTGAAGCGCACGGTGTGACGGCCGGTCGTCTCTAGGTTTATTAACATCGGGCTATTAGGATAATCAGGAGGGAAGTACACGTCAAACTCAAAACAGCCGTTTGCGTACGGCGTTTCTGCTGGCCCCGTTATGAGTACCTTTAACAATTATATACATCGTGTTATATTACGGCGCACATGCGAGAGACTTGAATCACTGAATTTAATCTTTAAGCACCGTCGAATATTGAAGAAAAACCAGATATTCTTTCGCGTATGCGTTATTAAAATTGCAACAGCGAAAAATTACTGTGTTTCTATCATAATTTAGTATCATTAATTAAGAAAATAAATTTTACAGGATTAGACATCTTTAAAAGTTTTTCACGCTACAATTTCAATAAGTAGAAGTATACATAATCTTTGATATTCAACATAATAATTGGAATGATGCTATGTACATTTTGATTTAACAATAACGTTACAAAATATATTCCAATGCTTAAGGATCAAACAGTTGTTAGATGACTAATTAATCCTGCTGTTTTGTCCCTTTCTTCTATGATCAAAGATATTCAAAGTCATATTCATGAAATTATTACGTGTTAAAAATGAAAATTGATGAATAGAGTCGAACGAGGCAGCAGGATTTAAGTCAAGCGTCATATAAGAGATGATGTACCTTCATAATATCCAACCTATCCGCGTCGCATCTCACAAACACACTACTGCTGTAAGATAGAGGCAGTGCTGTCGAGAGCGTAACGGCTTCCTGAGCTAATCGTTTCACTCGTGTCGGATGGCTTCTCTCGCCAGCAGCCCTCATATTTGATTCAAAGTGATACGAAACGGTAAATTTGTAACCTCCGCCATCTGGATTCTCAGTAATCATTTCGTAGGTATCTACGGTGTCAATATAAGTATTAATTATCAGTATTATTATTACCGATATTATTTATTAATTCTAGAATCTTTCACATACTTTGAAAATTATATGGAATTTTTTTTTATATAATTACGAATAGTTTTGCACTCTCATAAATTCAAATTTAATTACATACAGATTTCTAAAATAAAATTTTAAGATTTTTTTAAAGACATAACTAAGTATATATATGTAAATTGTACACAAAATATTTAAAAATCAAAGATTTAACATTCTTTCTTTTCATTAGAGATATTTAATAAATAATTCTTTTAATTCAAGAAAAATTTTAAGCTATCTAATATAATTATGAAATACATCTTTTCCATATTTTGGAGATAAGCGAATTTTATATTGAGTTGAGGGCTTACCAAATTGTAGATTTTTCATTACTTCCAAGTATCGGTGCTCCAGACTTGAACGCAATGCTAATTCCGGTGCCGTTGGGCTTGATCCGGGTAATTCTTCGCCGATACCGGATAATCGGCATGTAGCATTTTGCACTATAGTTGCACTTTCCTGTATATCGGGGATTAGTGTGGCCAAGCCTTCGTCTTGCTCAGTATCATCGGGATACTTGGACACCACTTTCATGTTCGTTTTGTTGCCCCTCGTGCGATTTATCTTGTTTACATAAGTGTCCACGCACACTTTCATGCTCGACAAGAGGGACACCACGGACGGTTCTCCGGATCTACCGCTGCGCGGTAACAAAAGCGGTGCTAATTGACTGGAGAGAGCCATGGCACGAAGCAGTTGCAGGACCGCGCGATAAAGAGGTATGTGCCTGGCCATATCTAGAACGGAATCGTTCCGCAGGTATGATGATAACGCCGGCAGTAGACAAGAACGCGCCAATAAATCGGGGAAAGGAGCTGGTAGCTCCTGCTGTGGTTGCCCGCTTCCCGATGTGCCAATATAACTGGCGAGAACGTGTAGCAGCACCGTCACGTGCTCGTCTTCGCATCGTTGACGTAATAACGCCTGCTCGACATTCCACGACTGCTGTGTGGACCCGGTACCAAAACCGGTACCTTTCGCCCAGTACAGATGTGAATTATCATCGCTACGTCCTCCACTGCTACCGCTGACACCGCCGCTCTGACCCGTCTTATGCTCGGTTGAACCGTCGTTTTGTCCAGTTTGATGTGTGAATATTGCCAGGCAGTTCAACAGCAGCAGCATAGCGCCCACTTCTATGGTCGTTCCTCGTAAAAGTAGACCGTCATCGGTGGTCGGTGGCGTGGCGTCCAACAACTGCTTTAGAACCTGGAACGGCAAAGTTGGCAACGAGGCGGCCAACGGCGAAGTCAGCACCTCGCCACCTTCACCGTCGTCGGAAACGCCGAGAGCGAGCCGCAACAGACATTGTGCCCGTTTTTTGTCCCGCAGTAGCACCTCGGCATAGCCCGGTAGTCTGAGAAATAGGCCGAAAGCCGCGAGGGAATGCGGTGGCACGTATGGGGCAGGAACCGATACCTTCGGCGGACAATTCGTTCTACCCTCTTCCAAGGCCTCGTAAATGTCATCGTTGGTTTCCAATTTTACCCAGTCGGCATCGGTCTGTTCTGGCGACGGTGATTTTTCGACGAAGAACGACGGCCTGCCGGGATCCGGATACACCAGCGGCAAGTGGCGCGCCAACACCGCCAATCCACCGCCGGCGCTGAAGACGCCTAATGAACTCTCTATGCTTCTGTAGTTCAACAGTTCGCTGTCGTTTAGCTTCGCCGCATCTTCTACAAGCAAATACATAGATTTATGTAGTGAACCGTGAAAACATTCGTACTCTTTCAATCTCAAACGATCAATATTGAGATAATGCGAACAGTTTTGTCATACATTGCCCATAAAATAAACAAAAAGAAATTAGATACCTTTGGAGTCCTTACTGCGTTGACGTAAGATCAGATGTAAGCATGGTTCAGACAACGAAACACCACTGTCCTCGGCGATCGCTAAGAGTTGCGCGATTGTAAGCTGAGGTGGTAAAGGAGTATTAGGACGAGACGAATGTATTAGATATTGTTGGTTCGTCGTGTTGGTTGGGTTTGCTTGTGCATTATTAGACGAGGCTTTATTCGTTACCGGCGTTCCGTCTGTTAATATAAAAATAAGTAGTTACTACAATATTAATAAATACTGATTATATCTGCAATTCTATTGAACAGAAGATCTCTCTTACTTATTGTATTATTAATATGTAAAGATACAAGTGGTATTCCTATCTTCTAATTAAACAAACGTACCAGAATTTAAACGCGTTTTTCTGATTATAGGACCTCGAGCTTGTGATCTGTTTGATGCTTCTTTAGCCCGCTTGTCTTTCGCCGTGTTTCCAGCAGCCACGCTAAGTGTGTCTACCACTAAAGCCATTCCCGATTCCCAGAATTCACGAGAACGATTGTTTCCATTGGAACTTGCTTCGTTACCCTTATACGTATTCGGAAGTAACAAGAGAAGCCACGTCCCTTAAAAATTAAATTTCGTATCAGCATTCATAATAAATCGGAAACATTAATAAATCTTTTTTAATACTTGCTTACATTTTACTCATTTTTGTTTTAACTAATTGTTACTTTTAGTTAATCGCTTGCGTATTTTTAATATAAAATATTGCATAAGAGACACATACCTGATACTTGTTGTAATATATCTGCCACTGTTGCTTGTGTCGACATGTATAATAATTGATGATAGTGACCGAGAGGATGAGCAGGATGTGGAGGCATGGATGGCATACTATGATTAGCAGCGGTTGCTGAAATTTTCATAGGAGCTTCCGACGTTACAGAAACCAATACCTTCTCTCCTTCCAAAAGCAGTTGCAGAATTAATCTTCGTGTAAATCCAGAAATGCCGTGGAGATACCGTACACCTGTAATTATAACAATGTTATCCGAAATTGCACTGATTTCCCTCAATTTATTAATTATACTTAGCGAAACTTGAAATTATACAAGCGACTTTCGATACCGCAGTACACTTACTTGAAGTAGTTCGTTGTTGAGAAATGACTTCGATAAGAAGCTTCGCCAATAATTTTTGATTAGCCAGGTGACACCAACAACATCTTGATAAGAATTTAATCATAGCGCTTTCCAATAACGCATATGATGCGCTTGTTTTCGAACAACTACAAAAAAGCATAATACATATAAAGTAACATGTATCTATATCGCGAAATATATATTGAATATTTATCGTCTGTAGAAGAATAAACGTAAATATATATATATATATATAAAATATAATACTGTAGTAGTAAAAACCATTTACATTATTCTGTGAGTTGTATTATAGAGATAAATATTGAATTCATAAGTGTAGCGATAGTTTATAATTTATATTATTTACGATGTATTTTTATTTAACTTCTTAATGTTCCCAGTTTTTATCATTTCTTAGAGCCTTTATATATTTTCATATTATTAGAAATTTTGAATAAAAACTATTCCAGTATAATAGTAACAAAATATCCGAAATATGGATTTGATTTCAAGATAATTAGGGATAAATACTAATTGCATTATTCCTCAGAGGATAAAAAATTTTAAATAAATAAGTTTTAAAAACAAGGTTTCTCGAAAGTCATCCAAAGTGGAGATTAGGCAAAAGGTTTACAACTCTTCTTTGTATAAAAAAAAATTGCAATAGTAACATAACAAAAAAGAAGCCAAAGTTCACATAGAATGACTTTTTTCCAGGAAATTAAAAGTTCAATTCGGATTGTGGCATCAATGATGATGATGGCAATATACAGGGTGTTTCCAAATTAAATCGCAAAACTTCGGGAGCGTGTAGAGGAGTAAAAAACTAAGAAAAAAAGTCCTATAGACATATGCTCGTTTTTGCTCCGTTTCAGAGAAATCGAAAAAAAATGTTTTTTTTACCTGCAAGATTAAATGGGGACCGTTTTCTAAATTTCTTGGAGAATGAATTTTCTGACTATTTAGAAAACATCCCATTACAACAACGTACTGAAATGTGGTTTCAATTAGATGGATGCCCTGCTCATTACAGCAGAGTCGCTAGAACCTGGTTAGATAGAAAATTCCCACAACGATGGATTGGACGTGGAGGAGCAGTACATTGGGCAACTCGTTCGCCCGACTTAACGCCATTAGATTTCTATGCATGGGGTACTCTGAAGCAAGAAGTTTATTCTTCGCCTATTCAATCAGAGCAACATTTGAGAAATCGTATCGTAGCTGCAGCGAACAGAATATCGCAAGAACAGTGCTCTATCTAACCAGGTTCTAGCGACTCTGCTGTAATGAGCAGGGCATCCATCTAATTGAAACCACATTTCAGTACGTTGTTGTAATGGGATGTTTTCTAAATAGTCAGAAAATTCATTCTCCAAGAAATTTAGAAAACGGTCCCCATTTAATCTTGCAGGTAAAAAAAACATTTTTTTTCGATTTCTCTGAAACGGAGCAAAAACGAGCATATGTCTATAGGACTTTTTTTCTTAGTTTTTTACTCCTCTACACGCTCCCGAAGTTTTGCCATTTAATTTGGAAACACCCTGTATAGTACAGTATTACAGTTTTTGCACATACATTGATGCAATTACCATGTCTTTAATCTAATATATCTAAAGGTCATGTAAACATTTGTACCTCGACGCAGATGTGGATGGGCTTTCAATAGGACGATTACTAAGAAGCGATAGAAGTGGTAACCAAAAACCACGACCTTCTTCACCAAGCCAATCACGCATTCTGCCTTCCGCACATACAAGTGTTAGGAATTCTATCACTATCGCTATACTTTCTGGTTTTGTCATACATAATCCACCTGAGAGAGAGAAAAAGGATATATAACTTTATAATTCCCGTCTTTAAATAATTTAAACATATTGATTTAGAAATAAGCTAAAATATCACAATGTGTAATGTCAATATTTACCAGAATAATTATTTGATCCGGAACTCGAACCTGCTGCCTTATCGCTATCTGTCGAGTTGACATCTTCAGTCACATTATTTTCATTGCTGTCGCCCGATGCCATTTTACTATCTCGTTGTTTGGATTTCTCCAGATTACAGAAATCTAAATGTATAAGTGTTATTGCATTAATAATAAATTCTAAACAAATTTGCTTGAAATGCATTTAAAAGCATTTTAGCGTAACTAATTCGAAGCACAATTTATACTTTTTGTACGAAAAATACATCTGTAATAAATCTGTAATAAAATTTTTAAAAATTTAACATAAAATTATGTCTCCTAATAAAAATGATATATTTAATGGAAGGTATACATATCAAATTATATTCAGAATTTTATCACAAATTATAAATTGTCTAAAACAGGTTTTTATATCTGAAGTAGAAAAAAAGTTGAACCTGTAATCGATGCTGTCAGTAACGCTGGAAGACCAGAATCGATCAATTGCTGAGTACCGGGTGGTGAACGAGCCGCTGCAGCGACAGTCAGCAATTGTCCCTCTGTCAAATGCAACCATTTATGTTTCAGCAAGATAAACTGACAATACCATCCCTCGGCGTTCAGATCGCTCTTCTTATCATCCGTCTGTTCTTCGCTTTCTTTGCAGTCGTCGGATATAGAAGAAGTCGGATTTACCGCGATATTCGGTACTAAAATTTGTACCCATTCCAGAAGCAAAATCAACAACGATGGCCTCACATAACAGAAAGCGCACAGAACAGAATCAATCGCTTGCTTCAAGGCTGAATTGTTTCCAAGAGTCAGGGTCCATTTGTACAATGAACTGTTTAACGAAAAAAAAAATTGGGATTAATTGAAGAGTTGGACACAATAAATGTTAAATAGCTTTATAAGAAAATAGCTTAAATGAAAACTATCTCATATACAATAATTTATATATTTATAATATTCAAATAATTATAATACTCGAATTCTTTATCTTTAAAGAAAGATCAAAGATATCCAAAATGAAATTTGTATATATTAATAAAAATTGACTTATGTTCGAATAGAAAAATTTGAAACATAAAAGAATATGTGATTAAAGTCTTACTAGAACAGCTCATCTGTCAGCAAGACTTGCAGATCGTAGTTGTGATTCTGTTGTTGATGAGCCTTCCAAATGATAGAAGATACACAGTGAATATATACCGCTGGTGGATTCATTGAATTGGGATTACTGTTCCTCTGAGATATTCCATTCGCAGCCGATATTTGCAACCATGTAAGAACGGCTTTCATGCGAGCCTCCGTGCTAAAGTCTCGAATGGAACACAATTGCTGGAGCAATTCAACGACCAATTGTACGATGGACGTTTCCTGGGAAGTCACAGCTCCTATCAATATCAGCACAAATATTTTAGTATATCGTCACAAGCTTAAAAGAAGAGATTATTGTTAAATATTTAATTCAAAAACAGCCTTAGTATTCGTGGCATCTTAAGCAATAAATATTTTCGTTAATGTCATAATACTAATAAAATTAATATTTATTATATAAAGATTTCAAAGTGATATAAATTTTTATAGAAAATACTGAATAAACCAGCAAATATTATCAATTTTACTTGTAAATATTTAAAAAAATTATTTATTCTCTAATTTATATAGCACACATAATTTGTTACATATCTCAAATATAAAAAAAAGAATTGCTTTATATATCTTGACGCAAACTAATTGTCTAATAGCTATCTATTAAATTTGGATTATTTTTCACTTATTAATATTAAAAATGTTACGCATTCTTGACTGAACTAATCTTAACAGTATAATTATTAAGAAGGGACATTCACAACGTTGAAATGTGTAATCACATATGATTTAACAAGAGTGCTCTGGTAATTTTATCTAATGTGTTATTCGCTGAAGATGACCGAAACATTCGATCGAGAATATTGAGAATAAGAAGGATTGTAATACAGTTTCATACATGGAGTAAATACACTTGAAAATATTAAATTTGTATACATTATTAACAATTGCGATGGTACTCTCATTTGCCTTTCCTCTCAATAATAATATTGATTTTAAAAAAAGAATTATCTTTTCGTCGTTCGTAACATGTTATACCTGAAGAGTTTAAATAATTTGAAACGCGAGCTTCTTCAAAATAGGAAGCTTTACCGCGGTCGCTTCATTTAAGACCATTGCTGATTTTATTTGCAGAAAATGGAAAACAAAGCGATACCTTGAAAGAAAGGGGTAGACCTGTTGTTGAGTAAAAGACCAATGAGACGAAGTCCAAGCTCTCGAGAGTGTAAGCCAAGTTGTAATAGAACCCTCTCCAGGTTGGGAGTAAAAAGAGACGGTGCTGGGAGTAACAGGAGGTTGCAGCATGCCTCGACCAGGCCTTCGACCGAAGCCGCGGAATTAAGCACCTCGATGGCTAGATTACTGTTCAGTATGCTTACCGATAAGCACTGATGCAATAATCTCAGCCAACCCAAGCTACATAAACGTATCAGAAATAAATTTCTTAATTTCTCATAGCCATGATAAATCTTTAACCCATAACGGCGCCAATAGTCTCACTTCTAGGACAAGAGAGAGAAAATAATGTTACCTAGTCTTCGTTAGCTGTTCTTCATCTATCGTGTCCGGATTCGTTTTAATCTCGCCAAACGCGGTGGTACCCAGTAATCTTATTTGACTAAGATTTATGTTTGTCGAGTCCCGCGGTTTGTATAGACGCACCAATACGGAAGTCGCGACTTCTGGTTGTGATAAAGTAACGCGTATGTATGTTAAGCCCGCCGTTGGCATCGGTGGACAAACCGGCGTAAGTGGGCCATTACTCTCCCTTGAAACTTCCAGTGCCACAGCCGATGGACACGCTGTCAGACAAATATGCGTATGTTAGAAAAAAGTTTTGTGTTTAATTACAAGGATTGTCTCTCATCAATCGCATTTCTTTTGCTTTGCAAATTCTTTGCAGAACCTAAAATTAATTTTTTAATAAAATATTTTTTAATTTAGAAAGAATTGACAGTTTGAAAGAAACGCGTTTAATAAAGAATATCCTGTGTATTGTTGTTGTAGAAATATTAGAAATTAGTGAGGTTCTATGAAGCTTTCTCAATATTGACATCTAGACAAGGCGAATATATAAGAGAGAGGGAAGTGCTAATGTAGAAATATGAATGAAAGTACATATCATGAGAGAGAGAGAAACCTTGAGGATTTCATCAACTTTTGCTTATGAATTGAGACACAAGAAACTTACTGGATAACGCCGTAAGATGTGGTTGTAGCTCCACTTTCCTAAGCAGGATAGCGCACGGTAAAGTGATGGTAAGATCGACCCACGCCTCGTCAGGATAAAAATGATACGACCACGCCGGTGTTCTCGCACGTTTATGAGGTGTGGCATTCTGTATGAGAACATCCGCTGGCTGCGCAGTCGGATTCAACCAAGATATTGTACCAAGAGGCGCGAAATTCAGTAAACCGTCGTCGTGAGTTTCCAACGAGTTGACGCCTTTCTTGCTACTGCTCGCCATCATTTGCATCACGTTCGGTGCGTTCGACAGATGTTCCATGACGAGAGCGATCACTCCCGACGAAGCGGAAGCACTGGCGGTACCATTATTACTTGATTTCACAAGATTTTCGCAAAGCACTTTTACGCCACCCATCGCGGTAAAAATAGATAACGATGATGCATTGTCCAATACCCTTAGGATATACCAAAGAAGGGGTTCGGATAGCTGCATAACTCCTAATTCGGTTTCACCGCATGCTACAAATAATAGTATGACAATTATTTTAGTTTCTCAAAATCAAGATTTTATATATAAAGATTTTATGCTCCTTTTTTTCGCACAGAATTAAAATGATTAATAATGAAGCTCTCGATTCTATAATATATAAATTCTTACACGAAGAGAGATAGTGGTAAAGCGGCTTGAGAACTAGAGTTGGATCGCTAGCCTTTTTCGTAAGAGTTGTAAGGAGCTGGAACGTTGCATCCGCTATTGAAGCTGGATCGCCGAGCTCGGTAGTCGATGCTGCACTCGCACTTTCACCTAAGAGCATAGCTAACGAAGATCCTGTGCTATGACCGAGAGCGCCTAGTAAACGCATCATAGTTGGCTCGTGCTGCAAAACTTAAAAATAAAGATTTAATTAAAACTTAGCGTATTTGGCGTGGGGAATAAATACATATTTATAAAATAGTCTCTTATGTAGTTAGTAGTTACCAGTATCAGCCAAGCAAGGCACGGAAGATTTGCTAGGTTTAGGTTGTTGTAAGTGAAAAGAATTTCGTTGCTCTGCCGCTTTACTTTCATCCGTTTGCCAAGTATTTGCATTCTGAGAATCGCTTGCATTGCTTCTAGAACTCCAGGTCGTATCAGACAATTCCATTTCCGCCGATTCCTCTGAAGGATCTTGATGAGTCTAAAATATAAAATCATTTTCTATATGTTATAAAAAAAGAAACCAATATAAATACATTTCTTTGATAATTTTTGAATGCAAAATACATACATTTGGTAATGGAGTCTGAATGAGTGTGCATACTAATTTGATGAGAGCCACAATTAAAGTATCCCACGATGCGGGACGACATTGTCTCGCATCACCGCCAAGCACGCAAGCAAATAGACCACCAAAACTACTGGACTGATTGTTCGAATCAACTGCACCTCCACATTGTGCGCCAACTGTTAAAACAATATTGAGATTCTGATAATCTTTTTACGAAGACAAAGTGCATTTAGCGGACATAGTTAAGTGCTTGCTACTATTGATATATTTTTCTAAATTTATCATAGATCTAAAAATCTCTATTCCAATCACAGGCAACAATTACGGAACGCTCACTCAATCGTTGTGTCTATTGAATGCACCCAAAGACAATCGCATTAAATCATCAATATTCATAATAATTTTTTAAACAATTTCATATTAAAATAATTTTAACAAACAATTTTTAATATATCCAAAACAAAAAGCAATTGTACAATATCAATATAAAGCCATCTATTTAAAATGTATAACCTTGTTAACGAATAACTTTTGAATAGATTGATTTGTGTGAGACTAATGTTTTTTCTACTAAAACCTTCTCACATTGCCTCTAGTCTCTATTGTTAATTTTATTTGTAAAAATATTTGATAAAAAAAAAATCTTTACCTTCGGAACCTTTGACATATGTCGAAACCAACACACCAACGCATTCTGATATACTCATAGCAATACTCAAGTCAGTATTGACATAATTCAAATTAACTACAGATGTTATTAGCTTGCACTGCGCATCTAAAGGCCCCTTCCTTAAAATAAGAGGCCCGCTTGGTTGCACAAGTTGGTATATCACTTTCAGTAGGAGATCCTTCAGGGAATTACCTAAACAGCTATCCGTTGTAATAACATCACACATTATTTGTAGCCTAACGAGAAAATCGTGTAATGCTTGGCAAACTGTAGGCCCAGCCTGAAATAGAAATATTATCATAAGACAAAAAAAAAGTATAACTAAACATTAATCTATTTTCTTGCATGATATATAAGTTATCATAGAAATCACATTTAAATAATGCATTAATACATACATTAAATATGTGCACAGAATTCTTGCTTCTGCCATATTCTTTAGTAAGTAAAAAAATTTTTAGTCGAGATATATAATGTTATAAATCTCATTTGATAAACTTGATAAATTAAAAGAAACTAAGTAAAATATACTGCTACCAACGACCTCTTAATGATCTGTATTTTATTTAATTTTGTTTCTTTATGAACTTATTTTATAGCTTTATAATAGTATTTAATATATTTTAATGTACTGCGTAAAATCTTAAACGCAATTTCTAAGAAACTTTAACTCTTGATCAAAGTCTTTGATATGTCGACCAAACAATGTCACCAAAATTTATAATAAAATGAAAAAGTATCCTCACCATGATGTATTGCTTGTCCATCGTATTAATATTTAATCCGTTGCCGGAAAGTAGGCGCAACAACATAGGGCCTGTATTACGTTCTTTAACAATACAACTAGCCATAGAAGGACTACTAGGTATAAAGCCATCTAAACCAGAATATCTTCGTAATGGTTGATTGCAGACGATAGTTAAACATTGCAACGCAAGACACCAAGCACGTAAAGAAACCTCAGTGTGCCTAAAATTTGATACAAATTAAGTACACAATAAAAATATTAATATCAAAGTTTTGAAACATATTAAATGTTATCATAGCTCATATCACCAATATACTTATTTATTAATTTACCACGAAAGTGCAGATATTAAGCTAGAAATAGCTGCTGGACTGAGTGGAATCAAAGGTGTCAAAGAAGGTTCAAACTGCGACCCTGGATGTTCAGTAGCAGCATCCATATTCAGTGCAAACCAAAGTTGGAGAACAAGTTCCAAGTTTGTACTGCTATTCTGTTATACAGAAACATAGATAAAAATATATGAATAATATATTCAGGAAAAATATAATTTAATACAAAATATTCATATCTAATAAAACTAAATTCAAATTTATATGCTTGTTAAAAATAGTGTCAATAGGAAACAATATGAAATATATATATATAAATGTATAATTTATTTTGTCGTATAAAGTTGAATAAATTACATAATTTAGAAAAAATTGTATTAATCGAAATATCATTCTAATTTTTTCATCTAGAGATAAATTTTTTCAATCTCTTTTGAAGGAAGAAAAAAGCCAAATCAATAACGTTTGATTTAAAATAAATATAAAAAAACCCTCTGCATCTAATAATATATTACAAGTGTGTATTTTATTTCAATAATAAATAACTTACTCGTAGGTATAAATCTGTGAACATCTTTTCGAAACATCTTGTCAATATCGAAAGATTAGAAGGGGTAGGATCAGAAAAGTTCCCAGTTTCTTGACTTCTATCGTTCGTTTCGGTACGCAAGAACGGTTGTTGACAACAGCGATTTGCTTCTGTTGGTACCTATATAAAATTCGATTCATATGATGGCATGTCTTTACAATAATTATTTCTTAACAAATATTAATAATTATCTCTTTTCCTTACTAAGAAGTTTTGAAAATATCTATAGCACATTTAAAGAAATACGTAATATCCTAATTCTAATATAGACAACAAGATGAATATATCAATAAAAATCAATCGATAATATATACTTTTCTATTTTTATTACTAACGTGTATTGTCGCATTTATGCTGTGAGGTAGATTATATATGCCAAATGTAGCAAGTATCCTCAGTGATATTTCTACGCCCATTTCAACTCCGTACTCCAAGCGTGCGTCCATCGCTAAAGACATGCTCCTAAAAATATATCATTTATTTATTACCTTCTAATCAGGTCATTACTTTCTTTTAAATATAGAATAAAAGAATAAAAGAAAGAAAAGATACCCAGCAATGGCAGAAGCTAAAATTTTCGATACTGTGCTGTCTTTCTTCAACATATTTCTACCACGTTCCAATATGTCGTCCAGAAAGTCTTCCAATTCGCTATCATCCGATTCCAAAAGGGATGGAAGATAACCATTGGATTTTGACGTGCCAGGGGTGGTTGAAGTTACTACGATATTATCTTGCACATCCTCGTCCGCATCGCCTTCGGTAAACCCTTCACCTAATGTGGCAGTAGAAGGTGCACTAGTACTAGCGACATTGGTCGAGTCCTCCTCCGTACGACTTTCGTCCGTATGACTCCCCAGAGTCTCCAAAATCTCTTCAGACGGACTACCTTCGTGCGTAGAAGTACATGCTTTAGGATACAATCGTCCTCCTGCAAATCAAAATTTATCTATGTATTTTGCACTTTAATTAAATCACTAGGATTTACTATTTTATTTCAAGAAAAAGATAGAGAGCAAACTTCCTAATACTTTAAAGATTTATGTAAACGAATTAACTTCTTTAAAGATTTATGTAAACGAAATATTATGAATTATTTATAATTATTTTTTGTGATAAAAAAGTTATAATCTAAATTATAATCACCTTCTAGTAGGTCCATTAGAAGACAAGAAACAGCATGCGACGACCAAGCAGCGTCGGACGTGTCCGTTGCCAATCTGATTAATTTCAAGAGTTGTTCTTCGGTCATAAGCTCGCACAAGCCTATTGCGGGACGTGTAGATACTACTAGCCTAGCGACTACCTATGTACGATAATTCAAAAATATAATTATAGACGTATAATTACGAAGCCACGTAGATATTGTAGATCCAATTGCTTTATCTATATAATTAAATGTCATTAAAGAGATCAAAAGAATCACGTTCTATAATCTGTGTAAAATTTGTTTCCTTTTGTGTATTTTATAACATATCAGATTTATAAATTACAAACCTGATTGTGAAAACAAAAAATAATACATACAGAGCTCTATAAATTTGCACAAAATAAGGTTTCTTTCTTCTAAACCAAATTGTAGCATTTCGAAAATATTTGTATATAGCAATGTAATTTTGTGCATTTTGAAAAAAAAACAACTTCGCGAATAACAAAACTCAACTTTTTTTTGATCGAGTTACAGTACATTTTAAATAAATCAAATCTTACAATATATGAGCCTGACAAGAATCCATGGTATTTCATATTGATATGTAGTTTGTGTGTCTTCAAACTTAGATCTTACCTTGCAAGCTAACAGAAACATATCCACATTAGCCGAATTGTGTAAAATGAGCGCGATGAGACCGCGAGCCACTGGTAAAACATTCTGGTGAGACAAGTTTGTCACACTGTACTCGATTTCCAAATCCATGACATCGGATTTACTGCAAATATATATGTAATAATATATAAATAATAAAAAAATGTTTTTTGAATTATATATTGAACCATATCTTAAAAATCATGCATGATAAAATTCATGTACCAACCTGGTATTGGATTGTCGTGATTGACTACAACACGGACTGCGGAGCAGCGACTCATTTCTCTTAAGAATATCCTTGTAATGTTTTGCGGAATGTTGCTTTAATGTCTTCTTGAAATAACGTTCTTGAACCTTCAGAGTCGCTTCCACCTTATTGTACAATGTAGCAGCGTCAGACGAAAGAGTCATCAATCCCTAAATAATATATATATTTTTTAATCTAACAGTTATTTTATAAATGAAAACTATCGCTCAATATTATATACATACTTTAGACGCTGCAGATTTTTTCGCTTGTTCTAATTCATGAAGTTGCTGTTTATGATGCAACAATCGCTTTTGTAATCTTTTACGGTAACTACGAGAGGCTGATGATCGGTTAGCATTTACATATCTCCTTTGCATAGCCGATTCTCCTTGAATAAACTCCCAACGGGAAAATAAACCTTCCAAAATAAAAACGTTATAGATATTATTCTGTTATAAAATCGCAATAAAAAAAGAATATTTCGTTTTTTTTAAGATTGCACTGAAGCACTAGTTTATTTTAAAATATTTTCACATGTATGTAAAATCACTTTCCTTTTATTTATTAATTTTCTAGTATGTTTTTAAGGTGTGCTAATAATCACGAAAAAAATATTTTTTAAATGTGCATAAACACGTCGCATATTAAATACCTTGTTCCCTAGTTTTCTCGTGATTGTCCTCGAAACAAGGCGGTGGTGCGATGGTGTCTAAGCATACCGATAAAAATAATAATACCCAGCCTATTAAGGTGATGTCCAGTCGATTGGAATTAGATGGCGCGTTCGTAAGAGGAGCCAATAATTTACCCAATGTACGAACCATGGCTTCAATAACTGAAGATTTATTTCCCCCGGCTATTAATGACTTCCGTCCAAGGAATGTTAGTAAAATAAACACCCTAAAAACAAAATTTTAATATAAAAAAATTATGTTTAAACATTAATTCACATTTTATAAGTCATAAAGCAATCATAAAGTAATGAAACAAGAAGCGAATTTTCTAAATTCTCTTTAAATTTTTGTATCTTTTTGCTTTATATGTATAATATTTACAAGTCATGCGCGAAATAATAAATATATCCTTTATATCGATTTATAAAATATATTTAAATATAAATGTATTCAAATAAATATAAAGCCTCACCTATCTTGTGGGAAAATGTGTGTAGACGCCGACGAGTAAAGATTTATTAGGGTATTAGATAAGAAGTTGCCCCACCATGGTTGATGCCCTGCCATGCCAGCTAAGAGCGCAGCAGCTTGAAGTTGCAAACGTGGGGCTGGCGTTACAACGCATATCGAATGGAAAAATTTCTCACAAATTGTTGGAGTGAAAACTTCATATAATGACGTTGGTCGATATACCTGTGATTAAAAAACGCCATGTCATATACAGACCTCGTCACGTATGAAGTAATGAAACCAAATGTCATGTGCTAATATGATACATAAAAAATGCAGCACAATATTGATTGTGGCTAATATTGATTGTATCTAATATTGAATTTTTAACATTTTGGCGATTTATCATAATTTTGCACTTAATATCTGTAATATACATACACTAGGTAATGGGCCAATTTCGTACACGATATACAGTAAAATGTCAAGAAGAGTCTCTTCAAGAACTCGTAATTTGTCGCTGGGTGCATTTGCGAAAGACGTTGTTGGCACATTCCGCATACCTCTCCACCACTCGAGACGTCGCCAGACACTCCGTACGACATTTAATTGATGTTGGAACATAATACATTCCTATAACAATGACAGATCAATACGTGTGTTTTGATATGTATTAAAATTATATAAAGTAGTGAACTTGAGTCATCCTGAAAATAACAATTCATAATTATGACTCACTTGGTATGTCGACATTATTTTCGCCGACGGCTGTTCCTTATTTTCATTAGGTATCTTATTATAACATAGATAATTTTGCATATGCATAACATTAGGAGTTTCCGAACACAATAATGGATCCAACAAAGTTTTTAGTCTTTCAGTAGCTAAACTAAATCTAAAAACAAGAGAAAAATATTTCTATACATTAACAGAAAACACACACGCGCAAATATTTGTATTATTTTATCATTATTTCTTTTATTATATCTTATATGCAATACCTGCATTGTACATCTTCTGCTAAAGCCGATAATATATTACATTGCGTATCAACGGTAGCTTGTAAAGAAGAATCAAAAATATCGGCATCAAATGATGAAGCTTCATTTGTTTCCGAATAATCTTCCCCAGGCAAAACTACCATATGTCCGTAAAACATTCCTAATGGTATTTTACACGTAGTTGTGGACATTCCATAGCGTCCTATTGTAGTGATCTAATAATCATATAAAGTAAATAATTAATTTACAGAGGAAAACTCGATTCATATTTTATAAGTAAAGAAGTAAAAGAAAGGCAATTGATTGATATACATAAAAAAGAAAAATTAAATGAATAATAAAAAATGTATTGTATGCACAATAGCGACTTTAACTTTGACTGTAAGACAATGTTTTAGAGATAATAAACACTTATGGGATAAAGTAAATATGATCAGAAAGGGGTAGAGAGCCTCACAGGGAGAGAGTGATAAATTGCATCACGTGAATGCTCGCGTTCAATCAGGACGGGAATCTCGTGACCAGTTTTCTTTTCCATGCCTATGGAGTTTTGATGTCTTGGTCCAATCAGAGGAGACGAATCACGTGATGCAATTTATCACTTTCTCCTTGTGAGGCTCTCTAGAAAGGGGTTTATAAACATCATAGGAAAAAGAACCGACTAAAATAAAGATCTATTATTATTGATGTATTAGATATTTTACCTTGAGATATCTACACACAGGTGGCGGCTGAAGATCACAGACGATCAACGGCCTACCTCCAATATCACCTGCGACAATAAGCCGTGTGCCGTCTATTTCTTCGCTCTTAGTCCAAATATCTATGGATAGCGATACCAAATCATTGCACGAAGGTATCATCAAATCGGTCAGCAATATGGGTGATCCGAAATCTAAAATAACGAATCGACGGGCTCCCGAATGCATCCGTTCGACAACCAATGCTTGCTGAGGCGGCCAACATAGCAATCTCCCCCACGGGAATGTAATATCTTCGCGCTGCAACATACATAATTTATTAATCGCTGATGAAATAATTATTTATTAAATTTACACACTTCTCAAACACAATGTGACAAAAATATAAGAAAGCGGAATGCTATTTCATTCACTGCAGCGATTATTACTGTGGAATAGGCAATTGTATTTTGGATACATACTGAAACGCATAAAAAATTACATCGTAATGTCCCACGATTTGCGATCATAATGTTAATGATACAATTTTTGTCGAGTTTTATAATATTTTAAAATTGCAAGTAAATACGAGTCTCCCCGCAAACTAAAATTGATTATAAGTAAGTAACGAAACCATATTTTCAATTAATTTTGAGCGCATATTACTTCAATAGAACGTTAATGAATAATATCAAATGCAGATTAATTATAGAATGTCATTACGTTAAGGTCGCCAATTATGGGACACTTCAAACAATTGAGTTATAAATTGAAACGTAACTAAATCACAACTTTGTAATTTTCTGAATATACACATTTGTAGATCTGTTGATTTATGTATACAGAAAGATAAGTCTGTTGCAAAATTTTCATTATGCACGATTTTCGCGTAATACAAGAACATACATAAAAAATGAGATTATACTCGGTACATTAAGTAGATATGATAATTAGTCCTATAATTGCATCAAACACAGTAAAGCGAATGTATAAAAAAACAAACTTTGTCGGCTGCATGTACACATAAAAAATGGAAATCGTTTAAATGATGATCTTAATATAAAACTAGTTGATAGCTAGTTCTTTGCTGTGAATAACTTAAAATAAAACAAAGGAATGAGAAGAAAACCCATGAGCGTACGAAAAATAATATATGCAGTAATTATATGCAAGGATAATATTAACATCGAGTACATAATTAATTACATAATAAATTTCATAATAAATTTCATGTAATTCATGCAACTTGCACTTAACATCATTCAGCTGCATTTGATAGATAAAAAACTTTTAGCGAATGAGTGTCTCTATTACAATCAGCATATTAACAAAGCGATTGAACGACGAAAGGAGTGTATCACTGAACTTAGAAACAGGAATTTACCAAAAAAAGAAAAAATAAGAATGGTGCGTGTGTCTTGTCTATGTAATCTACCTTTTTAGGATTGCCCTCCTCAACTTTGTTTACAGCAGTATTGATATTTTGTAAGCATGACTTTTCTTTTGTTATAATGGAACTTAATATGTGTGAACTAGGCATATTATTTTGCGTGCTATGCCAAGTCTGGTTGTCACCAGACATTTCATTAGCCTCATCATAATCCGATTGTTCATCGGGTGTGAGCAATAGTTGCGCAGATGGCTTCTTTAACACTCTTCCCGTATACATACTAAGCAGATCGCTTAATGTAGCTGTCGATTTAGCTTGAACATGTGGTCCTAGCGATCCAGCATCCAAGTTCTACAATTAATATTTCTATCTGAATTAAAATTCAACTACTCTAACATCTATATTGTATATGCCATTTTATGACTGAACAGTTGAGACTTATACAGCCACTGTTAATTGCGAAAGAATGTAATTCGCTTTGCCTGTTCTACGAATGCTGAGAATTAATTTGGTGCACTATTTCGTAGATGGTATTATATTTTACAATTGTGCTCAAGTCTGCTCGAATTTATTGTCCGTAGTTTAATGTCACATTTGCACAAGAAAATTATAATATTATCACTATTATTGACATCGCAGCGCTTTTTACACAAAGCAATGATTCAATTTATGTGTTCGCTCTTATACATAGTTACAAAATAACTCACACATCGTTTCATTAAAAAAAGATATACAACTTTTAATACATTTAAATGCATGCAGAGAATACTTACATATGTATGATGTATTGTTTTAATATCAGGCACACCATTGTTGCTTGTCGCTGCACTATCATACAAAGTGGGTCCAATATTAATTGTATTCATACCAGGATCGATCTTTTCCATCTTCGTGCCGTCGGAGGCAGCGTGACAAGTAAAATGAAGAGGTTCAACCTAAATCAACGTTCAAACATCATAAATAATACAGAACACAGTCGATATACAATTATCTTATTTATTTATTTATTAAATAATATTACCTCGAGAAGACCTTTCATATTCTGATTGGTACACAGTGCCTTCAACTTGCTGGATATTACAAATTCATTAGCGGGATGTGTAGGCAGTGTGAGTAGGTCCCTCAAATCAATAGAATCCTGTGATATCTTGGACGAGTGTATAGCACTCGACGAAGCGACAGGAGGACCTGTTTGCTCACTGGTTACAACAGATGCATACGTCACGGGTATTGAACTAAACTTTGGTAACATTGGTGGCTCTAAGTCGAAAAGTTCCGTTTCAAAAGGCGTGTTATATAGACCGAACCTGGAGAAAAATTTATTTGTGTTAAGATTATTTTTTTTAAATAAAAATCATTCTTAGAAAAATTTAATACTGTATATACTAAATTGGTTAATCACTAATTATTTTGAGTATTAAAAGCACTTGTTGTTAAGGATATAAGGAAAAGTTAAGAAATACACAATACCTTGTCGCGAGCAGCAAATGGTACGGATTCACTCTATTAGATACTTCAGTAGCTATCTGTTGCACCAAAGTGACACATTTATGTGCAATACTGTAATTTTTATCTAATGGCAAAAATCTGGTAATGAGTAATTGAAGCCATCTCAATGAACCAGCCCAGTGAACTTCCATTATTGACGGTAACAAGTTGACCAATACAGAGAGCATGGCCTCGTCAAAGGTTTGAACCGATGAATCCTCTATGTTATAAAATCCCCTAAAAAAAGATAATAATTTTTTCCATTCATAAAATCTTCATAATTAGCGTTGTATCAATATCATTTCAAATAATCGCTCACCCGCTGCAAAGAATAATTAATTTAACGCATTTATGCGCTATACTTCTGCCAGCATGCAAGAGACATGTTCGTAATAAGCTGGATAGTCGTCCTTGCACGGAACGTATCGTCTCCAATTGAAGAGCTTTAATCTCGGCGCTGTTCTGAACGCTGCGCAATCTCGTTAATCTTATTGAGGCTACCCATATTAGAATGTCAAGAGCTATAGATTGTACGACGGGAGAGCTGCAAATGTATGTATTTAGAGTGTTAACTTTCTATAAGCTTAAATATCGTTAAATTTCTATTATTCTTGTTACTTACTCGACAGGTACTTGCAAGCATGCGACATTCAAAAGATTATCGACAAAAGTTTTGGATTCTAACATAGCACATCTTTGCATCCTTTCGTCGGGCATACTGGTTGGATTTACTGATCTTACGGTGATTGAGATCTCGTAAATCCAATTGCATCCTTAAATAAAAAAACAAGTGTATAGCTTTTTAATGTGCAAAATTTTTAATGCAAAACAATAAGTGTTTTCTTATAAATTAGATTTAAAATCTAGCGACAGTAAAATTGTCGCACGTATAAAAAGAACGTAAAAATATTCTTGAAAAATTATGTAACACAAAGTATTTTATATATATAATAAACTTATTTTAATGCGTTTATTATATTAATAAATTCTCAGATTATATTTACCAACATAGCATCCCAACTTCTTGCTATTTGCACCCTCGTCAAATCGTTCTCCAGCATTAGGAGGCACAAGCGGACGTACTTCAAATATCTTCAGCTTTTTACAAGTGGGTGGTTTACTTTCTGCTAAATTTGCTTTAGATTTCGAAGAAGTCTTGAAAGTAGAGAAAGAAAAGAAAATATTTTAATGAAACACCGATTCTATCGTGTATAAAGATATAGAACATAATGAAAGATTGATAAGTACATTACTCGCTCCATCCTTTTGATCTACTAAAGCTTTGATGTGAACAAGTAACGTCCTAGCTTTCGAACGAAACAATTTCGGGCTTGTCAATGTTACACATCCCATGTGACAAGACAGATCTACGCAACGATGCAAATCGATGGGACCACAGAGGATTTCGGTGTTATGCTGGCGTTGATATTCCTCTGTGATAACCGGATTTTCGTTTTTTTGTTCGGTTCCTATGTTAAATTCAATTCTTTCATCTATAGGGGTGGTTGGTATCTTCTGATGACCGATCCTCTTCATATTTTGCTTCAACAAAGTAACTTGAATATTGGGTAACTCTTGATAGAACGGGTGCAAGGTAAATCGGACATCAACGTGTCCTATACTTCCTGCTGCACTTCGAGGTAAAGTAAGCTCGAACACGTGTTCATCCCAAGTAGTCCTAACATAATATGCAAATGTGTTACAACTTTATAATATATTTTCCTTTTTTAACCGCGTATTTTTTGTATAATTTTACATCGATCTTTTCTTATTAAGAAATATAACGTACTATTTCATTTACAATTCTTTAAATCTCAATATAAATAGATAGTTTTTTTTTATCACGCGCTGTAAGATAGCATCTTTTCAAAAATATTTATATTAACAAAGGACATAAAAGAATAAATATGATAAAAGAATGATTAGAAATTAATTTAAAAAATATTCAAAAAATATAAAAATATTTAAAAATATCTTTAAAAAACGCGCGCGTATACAGATATTTTGATAATTAATAAGAAAATCCACAATTTATAAAAACGAAATACAGTTTTTTTTTTAAATATTCAGCATCTATTAAAATATTCATAATTATGTCTCCTTACGCATCACTTTGTAACCGCCACGTTCTCGTATGATGCTGATCTTCCGATTGATGAAGATGCTGCGGATGACGTCTTTGTCTCTGAGCTTGCATCATTTCACTCCAACACGGAGGGACGGTCGCGCTATATGCAGGGGAATGTCGACTAAATCGTGTAAGTTCGTATAACAGCCCTAAGTCCCAGTATGAGAAATTCGATTTATGTGCTAATAGCTCATCGCTAAAACGTAGAAAATATTCAAAAATTAATAAATAAATATCAAAAGAATACTTTTACAGTGTTTTATAAATGTTATAAAAAACATTATAAAGCTATTAACACTAGAACTGTCGATGATGTCATTTTGATATCGCTCAGCTAACCATTTCGATTTTTTTCTTTTTTGGAGACACGCAGTACAAAATATTAAAAATATGTTAATATAATACAAATAATTCTAATAATACAAATATTAGTAAAATAACTCCTTCCTAATCAGAAACAAGGATAGGAAATTATCAAATTGGCATCTTTGATAGTAGTGTTAAAATGTTTTGGCTATTCAAAATGAAAACTTGCTACATGAAACTTACTAACAAATCGACGACGTTGACGTACTAGGAGCTATATTTTCACAAGTACAGCTTCCTTCACTACCCATATTCACATCGTCAACATCATCTTTCTCCTCTGTGGAGTCCTCTTCCTCCGCTGTAATGAAGAAATGCAATGTGCCATCGCTTGTGCACACACACAGCCTTTCCAAACCTGAAAAAAACCACCGATCTTAACACACAAGTTCTCAACACAATTCCTACAAATATTCCAAATTAATCTCTCATTCGCTCCTATGTGTTTTTTTTTTGGAAACGTTTTTAGAGGGACACTTACTGTTGCAATAAGTCGCAGAGATGAATTTCTTTCCATCTAATCTCGCCTCCGTTACAGTCTTCAGTGTACTTAAGTTTAATAACCTAACCACACCGTCTTTACATACAAGGGCAACTTGTCCGGCAGGTTCCTGAATGGCTGAATTATTAGTGGAATTGGTAATAGAGTTAGTAGAAAATGACGTGCACTTTTGTTTTTCTTGAAGTGGAAGTAGTACATGTTCTACTGGCGCCTGTTCCAAAGGTAACTCTCGCTTCACCAGCGGTTCCGACGCCACTTTTACTACCGGGCTTGTGAAATCCAAAGCATATACAAGCAACAGGGCATTCGCGTTGCTCTCGTTACTATGGATTTCACCGTTTATCAATTTGCTGGATTGACTATCATTATGGTCCCAGTACATATAACTTTTCTGTGGAAAGAAATCGCTTTCGTCGTCAACATCCATCTGATTGGTATTTGATGAAGAAGATTCGACGGAAGCATTATCCGCCGCGGGACACATCGCGACATACAGGTATCTTCCATCCTTGGACGTAGTTATGTATGTAATGCGGAGAGAGTCCGGTGCGTTTATTGCCAACGTCTTGACGACCACCGGTTCTGCCTTGGTAATCTTCATAAGATCCAAGCTCTTTTTGTTTATCGTTGTCAAATCAGATGTCGATGCAAAGTGGGTTGAGCCGTTAATAGGAGGAAAATTGGGATCGTAGGGAGTTGACGTCGTCGGGGTCGGACCGAAGGGAATACCGATGGGACTCGAGTAAATGCCGTTGGAGGACGAGGCGGTTAAAGTGTTGGGCGGGAAGATACCATCGTAATGCGGACCAACTACCATATCCGAGTCTACATCTTCGATAACTGGCACTTCATAAAAAATTTTACTAAGGAAGAGCTCCTGGTACAAGCTTTCCTGGCGTCCGCCATTCGAGCTGGCGCTAGTTCCTGTCCCAGATAGAGTCTTCTTAGTCTTTGATTCTTTAGAATTATCTTCCTTGATGGGTTGCGCCGTTGCAGCCTTATGATGAAAGTCATACAGTACTAAGTAATGCAACCTCGACGATATGTACCTATCACCCGCTACCTTCATTATATCTAGAGTATCACTGGCAGCACTATTTACACTGTTCATTGCACGAACTAACGACGACGAGCTCGCTAGATCGCTTGAGGCAGCCCACACATTCTCTAAAGTTCTTAATTGCGAAGGATTGTTAACTGTCACTGTAACCCCACACACTAAGCATGGTCGAATCTTATGCTCCGTCGTCTCAATGTTTATAGACGACGAGGAGTTGGTGCTTTTCACTTCCTCTCTCAGGGTTACTGGAGATCCCACTACTGAAAGTGCTGTAACTTGCACTTTATAGAACGACGAGGGCTTGTATTCCGAAAGTGGATCCGAGTCTGAGCCTAGATTTGTTAAATACGGAGGCGTCAAATTTCTCGCAGCACAAAATTGTATCGATTCCTTATTGTTTATTTCTTGATCCAAGGGTGATATATAAAATGATACTTCTCTCTGCAAAATAACAGTAATTATATTACTTTGAATAAGATAAAATTATATTACTTTTAATCAAAGTAAAAAAGATAACATATATAAGAATATCAAGCTTAATTTTTCAAGTAACTTGTGAATATATAGTCTTATATATAGTCAAAAGGATTAAGCACCTTATTAACCATTATTTAACATTTTCGTTCCAAAATCGATTTATGATACTTACCGTGAATTATCTTTTACTTAAAAAACATTTTAAACTTATGAACAATGCCAATAATCAATAAATAAATAATATTGGTAAAAAAATTCCAAGGTTTGTTTTCTATTTCTTATTGTAACAATTTTTCTTTTCACTATCACCAAATTTCAAACATATACCTATTTCACTTTAAGTACAGAAAGTGTAAAGTAGTTTAGTTATAAAAAGACAGACCTCCAGATAAATAAAAAAAAATATGAGTACCTAATACTTTTGACTAAGATTGTAGAAAAGATGCTCTCAGATTTTGTATAGCATTGATAATGCAAAACCTCAAATAGCTTACCTTCAATTGATTCGTTATGTTCCAAATATTTACAAAACCATTGGAAGAGGCTGTAGCCGCAAGGCCTGTGACATTAGTAGTACCTATGACGTCCACCGTATCGCCTGCCTCACGAGCGGGAGCTGTTGCAAGAGTCACGGATAATGGAACATTCTGTGTGTATTCACCCTTAACGAATGGACATGCGGGCGAATGCCTCTCATGCTCCGACCATGGCTCATCAGTAGGCTCCCAACATACTAAGCACACGTTACAAGTGAAACACATCGCTCTATCATCTCCTGTAGCATTTGGTTCATGATAGAAACCAGCCTGGGCCATTTGATCAGGTAAAGCCCATCTAAAATATTTATTCTGTTACAATTTTGTGTCTAGTAAATCATTAATTGCATTCATCTTAAGAAACAGAAATATAGAATATAAAAAAAAATTGTAAAAAGCAACTATGTCAATCTACATAATATGTTATGTACTTGTAATTCATATGTGGCCATTTTGGAAAAGTATTACGACGTGCTGCTTCACTAAACATTAATGCTCTATCAGTGGGACCACCTTCTAACGCAAGACTAGGCAATAGGCCATTTAGTCGTTCATTGATCGCAGAGGCAATGGGCAGTGCTGCTATATGCCGATTTTGCCTTTTTAATTCCATTACTAAACCAGAACAGACGAGTTTTAAAGATCCATGTGGTAATTCCAAACATATCGTATTCCACTGCAATTAAAATTTCCATTTTAAATTTTATTAATTTTAGCATTGATATATTGATATTAATTTTGTATGCATAATACAAAGATTTATTAAAAATCTTGTATATATTTATATAGTAATTATTTTTTGTTTAACACAATGTATAATCAATATTATATTTTTAACTAATTCCCATAATTATATTGACTATCATAAATTTAGATTATTCAATATTAAAAATCTCTATATAATTAGTTCTATTATAAAGATCAAGCTATTAAAAAATATATTAACTTTTTATTCTTACTAAATATACTAAATAAACATCTAACAGGCGTACTAAAAAATGTATTTCAGCTTTAAAATAATTCATTTACTTTTATATTCTCACTATGAATATCTACGATCTAAAATAATTACAACAAAAAATGTATTAGCATTTTATATATAAAATAATTAGCTTTACAAACTGTACTTACTTTTTGAGCCTTGATACCCTTTTTCTGATTTGCTTGTGCCGTAACAATTTTACTTGACAGTTCTTGCAGCACCTCCAGCAAATGTTCCACACCTGGTAATTCTACGCATTGTAGGCATTGAAGCAATATCGTTGCCTCTGACAGCAATAGTTCTAGCTTTATGACATCCTCGCTTTTAGAAACTGGGGTTTGCAAAATTGTATCTAATAACAGGACCCCATTGTAATCGCTACGTATGCCAATTCCTCGTCCATCTGTATACAGCACTTTGTCTATTCCATCCGATAAATAAATCCCTTGTAATTTCCCATTAGATTTACCTACAATCGCCATTATAAGCATAAACATTTTATAAATCTTCACACATTTCACGTAATATCTTTCACTTTTATTTTCAATAACATATATTTTAATAATATATGAATTAATATATATCTTAATACAAATTTGTAAAAAACATTAATACAAAAATGTAAATTGATTATTTTTATTTTAATGACTGCGAAAAACACTAATATTAAATATTTAAATAGTTTCCTGTCACATAATCTTATAAAATTGTTTGAATATCTGCATAATATACATTTTAAATACATTTTACTAAATAATATATATTTCATATAATATTAATATTAATACTACTATCTTTTGATATTTTCACAACATGATCTTGGAAAAATTATGCAAAGATCTTACAAAAATCTTGATTTTGAAAAACATAGGAACATTCTTTGTTCTTATTTCTTGAACTTATACAAAAGAATACTTCTTTGCTGCAATCATATCACAATAAAGATACCGTTCATAAAAAACTTTATCTTTAATGATTGGATCAGGTCAAGTGTCAAAGTAATTTGTAAAATTAATGGAATTAGTTCTTAGAAGACAACAAAGAATGTAATTGGTATACCGCACAATGCTGACAGTCATAGATCTATTTCTTTAAGCCGTACCGTATTACTTTCTGCATTAAAAACGCAAATTCATTTTCGCGGAACAAAGGAACAGAGACAAAATCCAGGAAGGCGTGAAAAGCATGGCCGGAATGCAACAAACTGTAAGATTATCTTCCTGACTCTCCGGATTCCGGGGAAGAGACAAAGCTTGCCGCTTTGAGGCACTTCGTGCCGGAAAATTTCAACGACGAGGAAGTAGTGTTGTCTTATTCCGGGAAAACGTACGCGACCTTGACTCGCGTTATTGCACAGTATCCTGCAAACATTGGGCGGACAGCCGCGACGGCGACGGGGACGACGCTGTTGGAGGGGGGAGGGAGGAAATCTGCCGTTTCCTCGGCGCCGATCCGGCGGGGGTGTTCCGCGGGGATCGATCACGACGAGGAAGCCGCACACGCTCACCAGACAGAGAACTCCTCTGCAAGATCACGCCGGAATTGACATCGAACACGTATACTTGTGCGCTGCCAGTGGTGATGAGTAGAACATTTAGATTGGCGTGATAGATAATACTCTTGCACTCGGTGTCCACGTTCAAGCAACCGTCCTCCTTCAATAGCGACGGGTCATCATCAGCCATTTTGCTCATGCGGATCACGCTTTTCTGAAAAACTTTTCTCTAACGCTCGGACATCACGAGAAACATGGCGCACTCGTCAACGCCATCTTTGAATAGAACGTCAGCAGACCGCACTGAATGTAGCCGACTATCGTCCCTCCCGTAATCGATCGATCCCTGCGGGTTTCGAGCTTCGATTCCCAGAACGATTCACACCGAATGCTTTAAGCCCAGTGTCCACGATGCTAGAAATCCGTCAGAGATCTCGGATGAAGAAAGAATTGACCAATCGCATTGATCATGTGACTAAATTGTTTAAATGTGATTGGTTAATTCTTTCTCTCTCCGAGATCTCGGACCAATTTCTAGCATCGTGGACACAAGGCTTTAGGCCGGAATTAGGCCCTGCGCACAATGGAGGAAAAATTAGGAACAGGAATAGATATTAAGATTTCAACCTATCGGAAACCGTGTATTCCGGTGTAACTGGTATCTGATAGGTTAAAATCTTAATATTTATTCCTGTTCCTAATATTTCCTCTATTGTGCGCAGGGCCTTAGGCCGGTATTCATAGTCAGATCTTAAATTTAAGACTGTCTTAAGTTCAGCTTTGAGGTATCATGAACCAATCAGAGAGCCGCATTAGCATCTTAAGCCTTGTGTCCACGATGCTAGAAATTGGTTCGAGATCTCGGAGAGAGAAAGAATTAACCAATCACATTTAAACAATTTAATCACATGATCAATGCGATTGGTCAATTCTTTCTTCATCCGAGATCTCGGATGGATTTCTAGCATCAGCTGCGTTCAGCAGACTCAACAGTTTTGCAACCGTTTTATGAGTGCCTGCTGAGATAGGACCATTCTTCTAGATCTAAAAGTATGATCCAATCAGCGCGAAGGAAACTTCCAACAGCGTGACCTATTATGACACTGAAAATAAACGTTGAGCAAAACAACATGAAAAGATACCTTAAGCTACGCAACGCAGCCATAATCGCGTCTCGTTTCCGCGAAAGGCTCATCTTCTGAGTTCCTCATACTCCGCGGCAGCGTATCAGCTGTTCGATGACAGTTTGCCAACCGTAGGACTTGGGGGGTGGTAGAAGTCGCAGCAGCGCTGCGAAAATAGTGAGCGAGGTTTATTGTTGTGGGATGTGACAGCAATATGGCTATCTGGTGATTAACAATCGAACGGACGGACAAAGGAGCAGAGCAGTTCATATGATAATCGACGACGCCGCTCTCCTCCGCGACGCATCATTGTTCCGTTGTTTCGTGCGTGGCTAGCTAGACGAACGGGACAGGATGCTGGAGCTCGAGGTGGTGCCCGAGAGATCCCTCGGATGCGAGCAATGGGAATTTATTTTGGGCAAGTGACGAAACGCAAAACGCAAGCGCAAACGCTCGCGACCGACGAGCGTGGGTTGTTATGATTTGCACGACACGCAAACTAAATCGTCTCCTCTCTCCCTTGTCGAGTTTCACGATCGAATCGAGTTATATGAGACGAGAACAAGCGATTGTAGTCCGACGACTACAATTTGTCTCGCGTAACGCATGATTTGTCCTTGTTTCTTTATGCGTTGCTCCATTATTTATCTTTGTTATCTAACTGTGAAACTTCGACGAGCGAGAACGAATATGAGCGTTTTTTTCCTTTTTCTCTATTATAATGTGTGGTGGCGTGTATAATGATTTTTTAAATAAATAAATACAATTCACAAAAATAAATCAAAATAACAAATGCTAAATCAAAATCTTGGTGGAAGTACAGGCAATTTATTCTACACTTATACCAATTTATCAATTTTTATTCCAATTTTTTTCGTTTCTTAGTCATTTGTGTGTGTGTGTGTGTGGTGTGTGCGTGTGTGTGTGTGTGTGTGTGTGTGTGTGTGTGTGTGTGTGTGCGCGTGTGCGTGTGTGTTTTGAGAATAAATATATTTTTCATTTTTCCAATTTTATTTGGCTTGTATTATTGATTAGTTTCTTATTTTCAATTTATTCTATTTTTGTGAAAATTTTATAAATTAAATTACTCTGATAATTTATTCTGTATCTAAACTAAATTATCATTCTTTATTCTCACTTTTATTAATTTCTTAATTAACTGTTTTAAGAATAAATATAATTTTATTTTTCCAGTCTTATGTGGCTTGTATTACTGACCATTTTCTTTCGTATTTGCAATTTATTTTGTTTGTAAAAACCAATCTTATGTAAATTAGATTATTCTAATGATTTATTCAATGATTTATTCAACGATTTATTCAACGAACTGTGATAGAAGAAGAGAAGAGAGGAATAATTTTTTATACACTGACTTCCTGTGTTGGCTCATTTAAAGACTTTTTTACGTTTTTTATTTGTTCAACGTTCATATTAATTTATCATTCTTTATTCTTATTTTATTTATTTCTCAATCATCTGTATTGAAAATAAATATAGTTTTAGTTTTTCAAACCTTATTTGGCTCATATTATTGAGCATTTTTTTCCTTATTTGCAATCTATTTTATTTGTGAAAATCAATCGTATGCAAATTAATTTTTCAATTGGCCTCTATGCAATTAAAAAATGTTTTATCTATTTTTTTAAAGTAACTATCCGTTTTCATTTTTTAATTTTAAAATTCTCTTATCTAAGATTTATTCTCTGTAGCTGTATTAAAATTTTCTATCTTGTTTTTGTTGAATTTTAGACATATGTAAACAGCAATAGGTGTCATTTGACTGATATATGATATAACTAAATATAATTTAAATATATATCTAATTATATATAAAATATGTATATTTAAATATATATAAAATTTTGTTTCATTTTAAATACGAATGTACATCAGTTCAGCTAGAAAGAACAGACTTATAGTTTTGTATAAATAAACTTTTATTTGATATACCAGAGAAAAACGCAAGCATTAATTTATTTTAAAGTCCGAATATTAAGCTTACTACATTGCAGGTATGCACTTTTCTCAGTCAGTATCGATAATACAGTCTCAAGTCGGCGTCATAAGAGGAGTGCAAGTACTTTATAGCGACACTGTAAGTATACTTTAACGTATGTGTTGGCATGAATCTTACATATACATACATATATATGCATAATGCACATAGACTAAAACTTTTTGAATGCATAAACAAGTAATACTCCTATTGTATCGTACATCAAATTTAAATAGCATAATCAGATGTTACATAAAGCATTATGCACGTTCGCAGAATCCGTTAGACGTAGATCTAGTAATAAATTTACCTCACGACGGCATTCGGCTTATATTCGATCCTGTTGTACAAAGGCTTAAGATAATTGAGATTTATAACATGAAGTTAGTAAAATTGAAATATTGCGGCTTGCCATTCAATTCGCCGGAAGTGTTACCTTCAATCGAGCAGATAGAGCATTCATTTGGTGCGACTCACCCGGGTGTTTATGACAGTGAAAAGCAGGTATACAATTCTTCATAAAATTTAATCATACATACAAAACTATAGAGAGCTTACTTCAAAATAATTAAAATTTATACGAATTTTTGCGTGATATGTAATATCTATAATGATAAATTGCAGGTGTTTGTATTGAATTTTCGAGGACTATCGTTTTACTTTCCGATCGATTCAAAATTCCATCCTGGTTATGCCCACGGATTAGGCTCATTACAGTTTCCTAACGGAACTTCTCCTCTGGTTGCAAAAACGGCAATTTACGTTGGAAATATTCTAGCCGGTGGTAGCGGTGAAGAGCACGGTTCTAAGACCCCGCCGCCACCTTTACCACTTGTAAGTAGACTTGGGCTATTTTGCCATTACTTAAAAATAAATTTAAATGTTGAGCATTTAATGTATCTTTAACATCCATATCTTTACACAGGTTTGTTACCATAATAACTTGTACTTGGAGAAAGCTGATATCATTCGAGACAAAGCACGTACTCGAGGACTCAAATTACATCTTTTTACGGAAGGTAGTTCTGGAACAAGAGCATTGCTGGAGCCGAAGAAGCGATGTCTGACCAAAGAGGTTGCGCTTTATCAATATACTTTTTGCTAAGAAAAATCAGTATTTAAATGTTTATCATAGTATTTAAAATAGAGATCATAAAGTGGAGATCTGAAACATGTGATTCACGACAATTAAATATCTCTGTTTGATAAATTTATTCCATTGAATACGAATTTCAATATGTGAAAAAATTCAACTTGTTTTAAGAGGAGAGAGCCTCGTGTAATCAGTTCGAAAAAAATCGAAAAAAATTTTTCTTTAATCGAAAGTAATAAAAAAAATATATTTCTAAAGTTACAGAACGAATTACAAAAATTTAAGGAACCTTAGTCCATTTCTTGTGTTGCACAGACATTTGTAGGAGACCATTTGCTCGTCTATAGACCTGTTTTCTGTGGCTGAACTAGTATACACTTTTGGAATTTAAAGCTAAATAGATATATGTTTGGCATTTGACAAAAACGTAAAAGAAAGTTGTAATGCAATCTAGTACAGGAATAAAAAACAGACTTTATGGTAATATAATGTTTTTCGATACTAAAGACTTTAAACAATTTTTTTTAGTCAAAATCGTAATTTTTAAAAAATGCTGTTTTCCATTTTTTTCTTATTTTCTTGATTCATCGACAAGGTAATTTCATATAAAAAAATAAGAAATTTATAGTTTTGCTTCAAATGAGTACAAAAGACACTATAATTCCCATCAACTCACTACTCTGGTGAGAAGGTCGTGTCAACATCTATTTATGGACTCTATAAAATTATTTTTTAACAAAAAAATGTTTTTCTATATTTAAAAATGTATAACACATAAAAAATTTTTAAAAAGATTCGTTGCATTGCTTGTTCAAAAGAAAAAAGATCCGTAAAATTATCTCCTTTTTAGTGATACACAGGCTCTTCCCTTCCAAAAGCATGTTTTTTTGCTCACAACATATTTTTTGTTTCTGATGTTATAATTTAATACGATTTCAGGTATTGTTCGGTGATACATGTGAGGATGTTTTAAGTGCGCTTGGTGCCCCGTCTAGAGTATTCTACAAAGCCGAGGATAAGATGCGTATCCATAGTCCACACGCGCACAAACGAGATAAAACAAGACGGTCAGACTTTTTCTATAATTATTTTACTTTAGGTTTGGTAAGTACGTTTTTTCATCTGGTGATATATGACACGAGCTTACTTTAACAGTTGAATCGAAACAGTACAAATTATTAATGGCAAATTACTAACACTAAAGATATTATTGATATATCTAAAAGAGATAATCAATATAAATACTTTGCCTTTTTCTCTTCAAACTATTCATAGAAAAAAATTCTAGATGTTTATTAGACATATAGGTGTCCTCGGATTTTCCATAAAAACTTTAACAGTATTTTCTATGAATTGAAATAAGAAAAAAATGTTATATAAATATAGGTCCTAAAATGCTTTATTAAAAAGTTATAATAAAAATACAAAATGTGTAAGAAGTAATTTTATCTAAATTTGCATTTCAAAGTATCGTTCACCCATATCAGTACAAGCTTGACATCGATATAATTTTGAATTTATCCTTTTTTGCAAGGAAGAGAAAAGCTGTTATTGATAAATTCAAAATTACGTCGATGTCAACATCAGATTACATATTACGATAGGAACCAAAGTCCTCGAATATCTATTGCCAAAAACAGAATTTAAAAAAGTTAAACCGTTTTTGAGAAATCTTGCAGACGGGCAATTGAACGGACGGTCGGCCCAACATTGAAATTATAAAATAATTTGCTATGCGCTGCACTACATAACAAATAGATTCAGCTAAATAATTAGCAGATAGATCAGTACAATGCTTCTACATGAAATTGTAGGCCATGTCATTCTTGAATACGTTCTTTCTTTGTCTATTGATTTCATTTTTCACACTTACCACTTATACTCATGTGATTCTTTGCAGGATATCTTATTCAATGCTAAAACCCAATGTATAAAAAAGTTTGTACTTCACACGAATTATCCAGGACATTATAACTTTAATATGTATCACCGCTGCGAATTTTCTCTGACTCTGCCTCCTGAAAATAATTCCACGGAATCGGGAAAGTTGATTGACGTTTCCCCATCTCCTGTTACAGTAGGGTCTTTAGTAGTTATTCATGTATTTAATATACCGTGTGTTAATGAATCTTAATTTCATCTCATAGATCACTGCCTATACAAAATGGGATAGGATTAGCGAGCAATTGAAAGCAAGTGCACGACCAGTAGTTCTGAATCGTGCGTCTTCGACAAACACAACCAACCCATTCGGCTGTACGTTTTGTTACGGCATACGGGACGCGATTGTCGAAGTTATGGCGAATCAACATATCGCAAGTGTAACTTTATATAGAACTGCGTGACGTTGATAATTTATACTATGTAAAGCATTACGTAGCGTGATTCGTGACGAATAGTCGAGGACAAGAAATTAGCTAACTTACGAGATCTTAAGTTTGCCGATTAAAAGCAACGGGATGACAAGACCGAGGTGTAAAGAACTCTATCGGGAAGCTTTTTTAATGTATAATCAATTATTTTAGAATACAAGGATGATAAATAAGTGTTACGTAAAGTGTGAATATTAAGACGATTAAACGATGACCGTATAAGATATGTATAAAAATTCAGGAGCAAAAAATACATGGAAAGTAAAATATATCATCGTGAGGACTTATGTGATTACATACATATGTATTACTTATCATTTCTCTTCAAGCCTTGTCTCGCAGCTATGGATACTTGGATCAATTTCAAGTTGAGTTTATCTTAACAAAGTTCAGTAGTTATCCTTTTTTTAACGTCTTAATTTTTCACTTTAATCTTTACGCAACGTTAGAATTAGCTGGAAGATATACAACAATCATTGTAACGCAACAATACGCTGCTCTATTCTTAAGAATACTGTCTTTTTTTCTACATGTAGAATTACAAAAGGCATAATTACCATATTATATAAGTTAACATATCTGTACAAATAATAGTATGTAAGTTCAATAATTATAAGAAATACACGAAGGAAAATTATGATATTAAAACTTTAATAGGCTCTGAAGGTTTTTCGACAGGACATTGGCCGGTATTCATAGTTCGCTCTTATCACACAAGATCGTCTTAAATATTTTGAGGCATTAATACGGTTCTGTGATTGGTTTTATCATCTTAAGACTGTTACTTAAGACAATCTTAAATATAAGAAACCACTATAAATACCGGCCATTATAGTGGCTTTTCGTACACAAACGTACAATAAAATCCATTATTTAGTGATCATTAGTAGCGAAGATCAAATAGAGGAGTAAAATTAAAATTCTTATATATTTAAATAAAAATATACTTTTATTTAGTTTTAACGATATTAAAACTAAATAATTGATATTTGTTATTTTAATTCCTTTATGTCTCCATGTCTTATTATTTTTGTTAAGAAAACGTTGACTCTGTATCATTCAAAGAATCTGTAGCTGGAAGAAAGGCGATATTACTTTAAGACATGTTAAATTTTGTCTTATGATTAAGAAACTGATATATATTGTCAATATATATTATTATATTATGAAAAGAGATGGAAATACTAGTAATTTCGTCTAACAGTAATATCTAGTTACTTTTATTTGGGACATCACAGCATCTAATTTAAATTTCTCATCTTTTGTCATAATTAAATAGTTAATAACAATTAATAAGGCAGACAAATTATAATGGAAATTATTAGTATCCGCAAAAAGTATTTTAACTCGACAATTATGGAAAACAGAAAAAAAACGACGGAAAATACTGTAAATTTTTATAGGCGATATAATCTTTTTAATCAATTATAAGGATTGTTATTAATAATCTTGACATATAATATTATCTTTTAGATGAAGTAAGAAAGTAAGTCGACTCTCTCAAATTTCGTATAAATGATAAATTTTTTAACATGGGTGTGAAGAAAAAAAAATCCGTGAAATTGGAGGAAACCAAAATTATGTATACCCTGATTATCGTGTTCTCATTATAAGATTACGGATTCTCACCCAGCACAAATGTCGTCTGAGTGACGAGAAAATTAGAAGTTACAACATTGTGTAACATAATAAAAATATTTGTTGTATCCACGTGGGTTTATTAATTTTCCCTTAAAATTTGTTATTAATAATAAAAATATAATTTTATACTTTGTCCCAAAGTTTGCAACTCAAAATACTAGAAAGTTACTTCTCAAAGAAGTAACTGAAAAAATAACAATAATTTTAAAAAGACTCAATAAAATAAAAATATATGTAAAATCGAGGGCAAATGAATCAAACGCTGGTGCTTATAATAAATACTTTTAATAAATTTAATTATATATATATACAAACGTTTCAATCTATTATTAAGTCATTCTCAATGTTAAAAAATTCGTAATTGTCAATATATGTTAGAGGTCAATATGTAAAATTAATCTTTTTAAAAAAACGAATTTCGCAAATGGTACTTCTCTATGCTGCAAATTTTGTTTGATATTCTTCTTATTCGTTTTCTTAGGTTGAACAATCATCGCTTCTCCATCAACCAATTGTATTTTTTTCGATAAACCTTTATGTCTTATATATTTTCTTGGTATATTCTTCAGGTGACATTGGTTTCATGAAACTTAGAATCCATATGCAATTGGTTTTACAATTAAAATTTTTAATTAGTTTCAGTCGTGATACCACCATGAGTTGCTTTTAATTGTAAAACCAATTGCATATGAATTTTAAGTTTCATTAAATCAATGTCACCTGAAGAATATGACAAGAAAATATAAGACACAAAAGTTTGTCGAAAAAAATACAATTGGTTGATGGAGAATCAATGATTGTCCAACCTAAGAAAACAAATAAGAAGAATTAGAGAAGTACTGTACCGTTCCATTTGAAATTCATTCGTTTTTTAAAAAAATTGATTTTATATATTGATATCTAACATATATATATTAACAATTACAAATTTATTAACATTAAGAATAACTTAATAATAGGTTGAAATGTTTGTATATATAAATTTATTAAAAGTATTTAATTATAAGCACATAATAAGACAAGAAAGAATCTGAGTTTGACTCGTAAGTGAAAAAATTATTTATAAATTTTTATATTAAGCGGTAATTTTTTAGGTAATGAGGATTAATAAGATGATCAATTAGAATCTATACTTAAATGACCGCTTGTCCATGACATTACTAACAGTGGACAAGTAATTTGTAATCTGTAATTAAGTTTTTATCTTTATTACCTAAAAAATTACTAACAATTTTACAAATAATCTTTTTACTTATTTTTTTCAAAACTTTCTTCCTATAACATTTTGAGTCACAAATTCTGTATATATTTTAATTTTTATTATACCCATGATATATAAATTATTATGTGATATAATTACTATAATTAATGTATATATAATATTATATTGTATATATAATTTATTATATAATATATAAATAATTTCAACTAATCAAGAGAATTACAATAAAGAAGTATCTTTATCATATATAATATTTATAGATATTCATTGGTGAATTCTGAGATAATACTATCAGTAAAAATCTATAATAGATTTTATAGTATAGCTCAGCGAACACAAAGTTATAAACGTACATATTATATAATTTCCAACAATATAACCAACAATATAATTACATTTTAATATACATTTTTTTAAATATTTTACATTTAGCATTTTAAATAGAATTACATTTTAAATGGCATTTTAAATGCAAAAATACCCAGCCCTGGTTATATTCAGTTATACATTATATTACATATAATTTTGTGTTTGCTAGGACGTAATATGAATTACTTTTGGTACTGACAGTAGTATCCCAGACAGCATATAATATTTATAAAATATTTACAATATATTTAAAATAAATCAAATATAAAATTTATTTTAAAAATTTTGTAAATATTTTTTGTGGTCTTAGCTGCACGGATCATAAATATTTATGATATAATTATTTGTGATTATGAATTATGATTATGAATTAATTGTGATTATGAATTTATGATTTGATTATAAATATTTATTGTAAATATTATAATAAGTGCTATGAAAATACTTAATGAGACATTATAATCCAAGTAAAAAATACTTATTAGAAATATTTATTTATTATAAATATTACATAAAATATTTAGTCTATATTTAATTATATTTCGAATAAAGCTTTATATAAAAATCCCAGATAGAACACGGAGTCATAATTAAGTCATAATGGTATCACAGGACGTCATCATGATGTCATTTGATACCAAAAAATTGACTTATAAGTGACAAATGAGGTCATGATGATGTCCTCATAACTTCTGTGTTCTACTTGGGATATATATGAAACATCTATTAACATTTCAAAAAATGAATATTAATAAATATTCTATGCTGTTTGGAATAGCATTGAATAGCATTTCAGAACACGCGCCATCGATTATATATCGATGCCATATGCCACGTGCCACATGCAGCGTTGTATTGCTGAATTACATATACAGTGACTGTAGCTTATTTGTAAAAATGATTCTGTTATATTTATTTATCATGTTAAAATATACATACAACACGTGTCAATTAAAATACAATCTATGACGAAGTCTTTTGACTAAATAACTTCCTGCTGCGCAATCGTTTGCAGCATTTGTGTACGTCTGTCTCGATCGAATCAAACGACAGGTTATATGAGAGCCGAGTGCGAATTGTATAGAAATTATTTTTATTTTCAAGTAACTCACTTAAAGACAAGATGACAACGAGCGAAGGAACGGAGAAAGGAACGAACGTGCGAAATGTCTTCGTTACTTCACTTATTGTAAGTGAATCATCATGTATAGTTTACGTTTTGCATTGACACATACATGTCGCACATGTGTCAGCGTCAAGTATTCTATGATTCCTGAATAACTTTGACATAAACATTATTGTCGAACATATTGTAATTGTAAAACGAGGAAAATTAACTAGATCTGCTCGTACAATAATCGATTTCAAATATCTAATGACGATTGATAAGTTGATGATAATAATAATTGATAAGCTACAATTGATTTCTTTATCATTGAAATTTTATATTAAACAGTCTTTTTTCATTTTATATCATTATTAAATGAATGTTAATAAAATATAAAAAAAAGAGAAAATGAAAATATACTTTTATATGTATAATTATAAAGAAATGGAAAGAAAAAAATTTTGACATTTTCGAGTTATTGAATTATTTATCATTTACATATAATTATGTTTATATAGGCAGGAGGTGCTGCGGGCACATTCGTAGACATCGCGTTGTTTCCACTGGACACATTGAAGACACGACTACAAAGTAAACAGGGATTTTTAAAGACTGGAGGCTTCACAAGTCTTTATAAAGGCATTGGTCCAGTCTTAATTGGTACAGCACCAACAGGTATGATACTGCAGATATGCAATACACTCAGGAATCAATAAATTTATGGATTATATACATTTGTACAGTAACACATTTTACATTCCAGCCGCGCTATTTTTTTTAACATATGAAGAAATCAAGACTATATTGGAACCTAGGATTTCTATGGATTATTATACTCCACTTCACATGGGAGCAGCTGCGATATCAGAAATGGTGAGACTTTAATAATTATTATCTTGTGACAAATGAATCAATCAAATCAACGGTATTTAATTTACATTAAATAATTGAGCTTAAAAAATTTTGATTCTAAAATAAAAAAAAAACTTTAGATATTTCAAATTGATGTATAGAGCAATATTTTCCAATTATTGTTTTTCCTCTTAATTCTTTTATAGCTATAATTATGTAATAATTAAAAAAACATTGCTTTCTACATAAATTTAACATAAGATTTTTCAATTTCGAAGTCAGCGTTCTGTAAGCTCAATTATTTACAGACTGAATGCTGTTAATTTAACTAATTCATCTCATGAAAGAATAAGTTTTAGATGTATATTAATTCAACAATTGCGAGTTATCGAGCTATTCGAGCCGCGCTGGATATTATTTGCGAAAAACTTTTTTATAACAGTAATTTATTAATATAACAGTAATTTATTTATTACATACGTTTCAATCTTTTTAACATGATCATCTTCAGTGATCTTATTCTAAGTCGTTCTATTAAATACCTAATGATTTTAAAAATCCGAGAGAATAAAATTTCTTCGATGTATGTTACTCAATGTGCTTATTTTAATTTTACGCAATATCCTTATTTTAATATCTGTTGACAAGATATCTTTTCAACGAGAATAAAATTTCTTCGATGTATATTACGCAATATCCTTATTTTAATCT